CGTAAACGTGTTCCATCGTTGTTGTTTTTTTTTTCCTTCGTCTCAACAATGTATTCGAACGAAAAGAAAAAAAGAACGATAACAGAAAGACAGAGAAGCGCAAAGTTCAGTTGAACACAAGTGGTCTCTGATTTTACTTTATTACGGTCGATTCACCGAATCTTCTAGCAATTTCAAAGTGCACCAGCACTCATCGACTATGTTTTATAAACACATGATATTCGTTTGATTTTGAAGAGAGGCAGAGAGAGACGGAAAAAACCTGTCCTTTGGACATCCGGACGACTTACATGTTTTTGCGTCTTTTTGAACCACTGACTTAGATAAATCGACAAGTGTGAATCGCTGAGACGTATAACAAAACTGAACAAATTAAATCGATTCGGGTGATTTTGGTTTTTGTTCTGTCGTTCAATCGTTTTTTTTTTGTCCACTTGCACGGCATTAACCGATGAGGAATTCATAATCGTAATGAACTAATTGAGTAATTCCGTATATTGATCTTTATATTACTTATTAGTATTTTCTTGATTAGTTTTTTTTTCCATTGATTTTTTCTACTTTGACCATCTACTTTTTGCCAACAAACATAAAATTATTGCATTCCAACAAAAACATTGAAAACACTGAAAACACCTCTTTGTGCTGGGAAAGTTAATTTCTAACGATTTTGAAAGATTTCTCTGTTCAAAAGCGTGTGAAACATACCAAATTGAGCAAAATGATGGGACAATTTCAAAGAGCTAATTCAAAGCGGTTTAATGAAGATTTCGATGGGGCAGAAGACATGGAGTCATGCAATTAGTAAATTTTTAACACTATGACTGTTCTTCGTATTTGCAAAATATTACTGTTCTTGGGGGACTCCAGGGCCCCATATGTATTTCACATGAAATCTGGACTGTTATAAGAGATAACAAATTAGTGTCTGAAGCAAAGTTGTAAAACTCGAGGTTTGCTATAATTTTGTTGCAACAAATATTGCTTATCTCTTATCAGTTCCGCGAAAAACGCGAAAAAACGCGAAAATCGCGAAATTTTCCCACCTCGTTTTAGTGAAGCCGATAAGAAGTAAGAGACTTGCCTCTTCGACAGAAATGTAGAGCAGGTCGAGTACTACAACTTTGCCACAGACACCAAGTCGTTATCTCTTATCAGTTTCACGAAAAATGATTATCAAGAACTCGCGTTTTTCGCGTTTTTTCGCGTAACTGATAAGAGATAACGACTTGATGTCTATGGTGAAGTTGTAGTACTTAAGCTGCTCTACAACTTTGCCGAAGATACCAAGTCGTTATCTTTTATCAATTTTGCGGAATACGCGAGAAACCGCAGAAAACCGCGAAAAAACGCGTTTTTTCCTTATCATTTTTCACGGAACTGATAAGAGATAACGAGATGGTGTCTAAAGCAAAGTTGTAGCTCTGGTCAAGTACTATAATTTGCCACAAGTCGTTATCTCGTATCAGTTACGCGAAAAAATGATAAGAAAACATTCGCGTTTTTCACGGTTTTCTGCGGTTTTTCGCATATTCCGCGAAACTGATAAGAGATAACGAGATTGTGTTTACCAAAGTTGTAAAGCAGCTTAAGTACTACAACTTGGCTACAAACATCAAGTCGTTATCTCTTATCAGTTACGCGAAAAGCCGCGAAAACCGTGAAAAACGCGAATTTTTTCTTATCGTTTTTTCGCGTAACAGATAAAAGATAACGACTTGGTGTCTGTAGTGAAGTTGTAGTACTTGACCAGAACTACAACTTTGCCATAGACACTATTTGGCTATCTCTTATCAGTTTTGCGGAATACGCGAGAAACCGCAGAAAACCGAGAAAAACGCGATTTTTTTCTTATAATTTTTTCGCGTAACTGATAATAGATAACGACTTGGTGTCTGTACTAAAGTTGTAGTACTCGACCAGGGCTACAATTTTGCCATAGATACCATCTCGTTATCTCTTATCAGTTCCTTGAAAAATGAGAAACTATGAATTCGCGTTTTTTACGTTTTCGCGGCTTTTCGCGTAACTGATAAGAGATAACGACTTGATGTCTACGGCGAAGTTGTAGTACATAAACTAGTCTACAACACTGCTACAGACACCAATTCGATATCTCTTATCATAGTCCAGTCATAATATAAAATAGCCATGGGGCCCTGGAGTCCCCCAAGAACAACAGCGTAACATGTTTTGCGGCAGGCTGTATTTTACACATACTCACACATATGTATATGTTTTTTTTTCATTCGTGTAGAGAAATGTTCAATCTATGCAATGAGACTTAACTCCGGTTGGTTTATACACTGTTTAGTACTTTTATTCAACTTTAAAGTTCGCTGGGGGCCCTGGGTGCCCCAAGAACAATCATAGTGTTAATAGTCCAAAAGTGTATTAAATCTTCATTATCTGTAAATGTTCTAAAGAATGTTGGTATGTGTATTGTGTTGATGGATGATTTGTTTCTTTTCTATGACCCATAGACTGTGGAATGAACAATTTTACTAGTTAACCACAATTTGTTTTTCGTTTAGCTTTTTTTCTATGACTTCGTTCATGTTTTTTTCTTTAATGCGTAAAACACGTGAGCAATGTTCAACGGCAACACTGATTCTGTCTTTAAAATATGTGACTTGCATTGTACAAGCGGCGTGAACTCACTTGTGTAAACATTTAAAATGTTTACGATCAAGAATGACTTTCCCACAGAAACTATTTTTTTTTCTTCTGCTGTTCGTTTCGAACGCAGCGATTTCTCTTTTTTTTTCTTGCTGATTGAATTTTTATCTAAAAATGATTATTGTTTATAAAAAGAGCAATATCATTGGGAAACATGTGGTGGAACTTATCGAATTGTGTTCAGTTATGTAAATGTTTGGAAATTTCAACCTCACAATAGATAGAAAAAAAAACATCGATACGATCGGCATTGCCGAATAGTGAGAGTTAATTAAAAGAACGTTCCAATTGATGCGCCGTAGTCATTGCGATTTTTTTTTCTGTTTCATTTGGTTGTAGCTCATTCATTAATAATGAAAACACGATGAACTGTTACAAATTTCATGCGGCGCAAATCACAAAGTGTGAGGTTTTTTTGTGAACTTGTGTTTCTATACTTTTTTTGAATGCCACAAATTGTGGCCCATAAATAATGCGCCCGGATGAAAATAGAAACCACACAAGATAATACTTGCGGTTAAATCGGTCCTACAATAGTTGCCGGCCGAACAAATTGGTTCCTTTCATTTGAATAGTTATAAGAAATGTCAGTTAAAATGGATGAGTCCTTGACCAAATACAATTAGCATTCTTCACCTAAAAATCCATCGAATCACGTAATACATATTGTGTATTGTAAATTTATTGTTATTTTGGCAGAACAATAGCAAGAGAAGGAACAAAAAAACCACACTGTTGTTCGTGTTGAATTGAAATGAGTCTTTCTTCTTTAGTCAGAGTCGTAGTAGGAGTATGATTAAGAATTATTACCGCAACATTGATTTTTGTGTTGAACATTCTCTCTGTGAAATAAATTACGAGTCAAAAAACCTCTTTCTACTTATAAATACTGAGACGCAGTAATTGGATATGGAAATGGTATTTTTACCTTCGAAAAGCAAATTTTTGGTCGTCTTTTACCGTCTACTTTGATGTAAGATTTGTGAATTTAGTATGAAATTTCTGAATTTGATTTTGATTAGATTTTCAAGCAATTTTTTTCCTGCCATATGACTGTTTGCTTCTAATTATCCACCGGTAGCGGCCAAAGTTGTGTTTATTTTCAGTCAAAAATGTGCTAAATTCTGACTGATATCGTCATATTTTCATATGGAATGTGTCATAGGTGAATTTTCATATGGAAAGTGTAGGTATAATTCAAATTCATTGCAATGAATCATTCGAAATCGACTGAACTCATTATGCATTAAATCAGTTGATTTTGGAAATTATCACCTTTGTTAAACTACGACGAAGCAAACCAAATCGACCGAAACACGTAGTTCGTGTTATCGGGAGAAAAAAATAAAATAAAAAAGAACACAATTTCGTATACATGCCTTGTATTTTAGAAATCCAGATTAAACGTTGTTTATTACTTCACGTGTGCGGCTTTCGAAAAGTTTTCACAATTCGACGAAACAAAAACACACACGAACCGAAGAAAAAACACCGTATAACTTTAGATCTGCGTAGAAAAATTGGAAAATGGACATGAAACACACGAAACATACGAAATATGAAGCGATATACACATTTTTTAACTTGCTAATAAGGGAATCGGAGTGACCGTCGGGCTATGATGGTTAATTAAAATCCATGTAGTGGCTCATTACGTTTTTACTACACACCGAAACCAAAAAAAAAAGTTCAAGTAAATGGGAAAATGTGTCTTAGCATTTTGACGATGAACTAACGTGTTCACGTTGGCTTTTTATTTCTTCGCGTAGTTAGTACAGTATTCAGCATTTAGCTTTGCTCTTTCTCTTGATGAGTACGCGCGCCAAATGTATGTTATATCGTAATTTCATGTTCAATTAAGACGATTTCAGTGCAATGCATTGTTGTTATTGTTGTTCCGTTTCCATTCAATGTGATTGTAGATAGTTCTCTCTCTCTCTCTCTCTCTCTCCTGTCAAAAACACCATGCGATTCCATTTTTATTGAGAGAGACACGGCGTGCTTAATTTTGTGAATGAACAGAAGAAGAAGAAGAGAAAAAAAATATTTTATGAAGCGGCTCTTTTCACGGTCGCATGATTTCGACAAAATTGGGTTAAGAGTCAGGGATCATCTTGGATACAAAAATAGCATGCATTCAAACATATCATTATTTTATTTTGCTTTCATGTTTCACAACTGATAATTGACGCACACAGGAATTGTTATTGCAATGAGTTTTTTTTTTGAACAAAAATTAAGACGACATCAAAACTTATTATCCGCATTGCTTCTCTTTTCCTTTGCTGTTGGCTAATTCCTTTTTTTCTGTTTCGTTTTAGATAGCATTAAGCGCAAAAGTACGCATGGTTCAGTGCGAAAGGAGTTGCATCGCTGGTGGACATGCATTTACATCGGGAAAATCATACGACATTCATGATAAACTAAACTATTGAACTTGACCAAGTGACACCCAAGAAATACGGAGACCAAAACGATTTCAAGGACATTCAAATGCTGAATTGTTGCGGTTGGAACGCCTCCTGAAAACCCGAACAACCAAGTGGAACGAACGAGAGAAAACGATACCAAATCAACTTTACATAATTCTTTTATTTTGTTTTTAAATTCGATAAATTTTAACGAAAATTTTATAACGCCAAAATGACAGTCGTGTCGAAATATTTGGACGAAGCGATCGTTCGCTATGAAAAAATGGGGTTCTCTAAACATGCCCTGTCGAAGGGAATTGTGACCATCGCCGTCGGTGCATATGTGGCACACATTTCATACCCATATCTTAGCAAAATGATTAAAGCAGCCAATTTGGCGCCAGTCCTTTCGGAAACAGCCAGTACAACTGATGACGACACATCCGATTCAGATTTTGATTCCGAATCGGATGATTATGAAAGTGCAATCGAAAGCAATAATATCAATAGCAACCGCATTGATCGTAAAAATATTGACACCACTCGTAAGTTGATTGAAGCAATTCATTGTTTTTGAATTAAAAGACATTTTCGCTTAGATTCAGTTAGACTTTGATAAAACAAATTTGATTAAATTTCATTTAGTTTCATTTAATTTTGGTAAGATTTTATAAAATTTTACTTAAATTTTGTGACTTTGATGGATATTTGATTAAATTTCGTTGAAATTTTGAGACGTTTTTAGACTTGATTGTAGTTTTAATGGAATTCGACCGATTTGATGAAAATTTTTGATATTTTTCATTGGAATCGATAAATTCATGAATTGTTTTGATTAAACTAATAAAAGCCTTTTTAAAATTATTTTTCAATCTTTGATCACCAAATGAACAGCATTTCATGTTTATTTTGTTTCCTTTTCTCTTCAGTTCCCGATGGGACAACGAAACTGGATGGCGATGATAATTTAGACAATGATGAAACGGCGCAAGGTGTTGAAACCGATACCGGTGATCGACTGACGGTTCCGACTGGCAAACGAAAAAGGAAACATTCAAAGGTCATCAAGCAGCAAATTAAGCAAGCGGAAAAATTCTTAGCCCAAGCCACTCAGGAACGAAAAAAATCGGAACAAGTGGGGAATTTATCGTTTAGCCAATTGGAAGAGCGACGAATAGGGTTGAATTTAGAATTTTTATTCAAATTAAAGCGACTCATACACATAATGATACCGCGGATTTGGTGCCGTGAAATTGGCATTCTCGGTGTGCATACGGCTTGCTTAATATCACGAACATTTCTCAGCATCTATGTAGCGGCTATCGAAGGTTCGATCGTGAAATTTATCGTGCGACGTGACTTACGGCAATTCATAATGGGCCTTATGAAATGGTTTAGCATTGCGATACCGGCTACATTTATCAACTCCATGATTCGCTATTTAGAGAACAAATTAGCTTTATCGTTTAGGTACGTAAATTGGGGTTCACACAGAACACAGTGCATACCTTAAATCTTTTCAACTATAGCCAATGATAAGCTATACAGTAAAACCTCCCAAAACCTCTGTTTAAGAGAAACCTCGAGATAGTGGAAAAAAATTTAGTTAGAAGTTTTCCTTCAAAATGACCTCCAAATAAGGGAAATTTTACCTCTAGATAAGGGAAAATGGCTCTTTTTGACCAATTCTTTCTTGCATAAAAATGCTATAAAAACGTTTTTTTTTGCATTTTCACCAGCAAAACCAAATTGTCTGCATATGATTTACACGTGTTTTCATCCTACAGATTCTCTAAAATATTGATTGGACAATTTATTCTTCTTGTTTATGTATTGTAAATGCATGAGGATTACTTGAGATTCGTGAGCGAAGTAAATCAGCTGTGACTGAATCACACTTGAAAAAATAAAATATGGAATTTGCAAACAGTAATTTGGTAAACAATACATTTTCCCTTATATTTCCATACAGATTACTTGGCATTCGATTCTCTTGTGATTTTTTGCCATTTACTTGTTACGTAAACGAAAATAGTACTGTTTCGATCAATATTTCAGATAAGGCGATATATGCGTGGTTTGTACTTTCAATCTGTTGGATTTCATCAAATAAACGTACACAGAACCTCTAATTAATGGAAAACACATTTTTAAAGCATTATAAGCTTCTCAATAGTGGAACCTCTGTTTAAGAGAAACCTCGAGATAGTGGAAACAATTTTCGGCCGGAGCGAGTCCACTATTGGGAGGTTTTACTGTATTAATAATTGTTCATGACACACTTAACTAAATACCCGCTACATGATTTTTTTTTTCTCTCCTGTTTGTTGTTTACAGAACGAGATTGGTGAATCATTCGTACAAATTGTATTTTAAAAATCAAACTTATTACCGGGTAGCGAATCTAGACGGTCGAATTGAAAATGCAGATCACAGGCAAGTAGTTATCGGAAAATGAATCATTTTTAATGGACTTGAATTAATTTGTTCTAATGAAGTTCATTACTCACTCATTCACTTCACACTTCAATATATCAATGGAATGTTCATCAACTCAATTCATTTGTTTCACACATCCACAGATTGACTGAAGATATTTCAGTGTTTACAAGTTCAATTGCGCACTTGTACAGCCACTTAACGAAACCTTGCTTTGATTTAATGCTGATCGGACTGGCGCTGATGCGTTCATCGCGCAAAATGAAGGCGAACATTGTGACTGGCCCGGCATTAGCTTTTGTTGTTATCTCAGCAACGGCTTTAATTCTACGGCAATTGTCACCGAAATTCGGTCAATTGGTAGCGGAAGAGGCAACTCGTTATGGTTACTTACGGCACGTGCATGCCCGAGTCATCACAAATGCAGAAGAAATTGCTTTCTATGGTGGTCAACGTGTGGAATTGATGCAATTGCGTGAAGCATTCCGTCGACTTGCCAATCAAATGAACATCATCTACACACAACGCTTGTGGTTTGTGATGCTCGAGCAATTCTTCATGAAGTACGTGTGGTCAGGAACGGGAATGATAATGATCAGTTTGCCGGTCTTAATGGGCAACCAAAATCAACCACACAACAACTCATTGTCAACTGCGGCCACGGTTTCAGACGATGGAATCAGTGACCGAACGCAATACTTGACAACAGCCAGAAATCTCTTGATATCGGGCGCTGATGCAATCGAACGTCTGATGTCATCGTACAAAGAGATTGTCGCTTTGGCGGGCTACACTTACCGAGTGGCTGGTATGCTCGAAGTCTTTGATGACACTGCCCATGGTCGATACAATAAAGTAATGATGGCCGAAGGCCGTAACAATGCGGGCATTATTGAATTCCGTAACGGACAACCAGTGACTAAGGGCCGTATCATTGTTAATACCGATCCAAATGATCGATCCATTTCATTGAATAATGTGCCTGTCGTAACACCCAACTGCGACATTGTTGTGCCCAGTCTTACACTTCGTATTGAGCCTGGTATGCATCTTTTGATCACGGGACCAAATGGCTGTGGCAAATCATCACTGTTCCGCATTGTTAACGGACTCTGGCCCATCTATGGCGGTGAACTTTACATCCCAAAACCAATCGTCGGCAAACCAAGCATGTTTTACATTCCACAAAGACCATACCTTACGATTGGCAATTTGCGCGATCAAATCATTTATCCAGACACCGTTGATGATATGCTGTCGAAAAAATACGACGAAGATATGCTGCATGATATCATGAAAACCGTCTCACTTGAACACATCGTAGCTAGGTATGGAGCAGCATATTCTTTATTTTCGATTGAAAGAAAAAAGTTCTTTGGATTGAAGACTTTGATCCAATACATCGGTTGATTTTGAGAGAATATTATGTAAAAAATAAATTAATCGGCTTCATTTCCCTTCTCACTTACAGAGACAGTTTTGATGTCGTTCGGGATTGGAAAGATATTTTATCAGGTGGAGAGAAGCAAAGAATGGCTATCGCTCGACTATTCTATCACAAGTAAGGGTTCTTCTGATTTTAGATTCATATTGAACTTCCAAAATGGGATTGATTGAAGAATTGATCTTTTGGATAAAAAAAAATCGCATTTCTTCCGAATTCAAATTAAAAAAATAACAATGAAAAAATCTCTTTATTTTAGGCCGCAATACGCTTTGCTGGACGAGTGCACCAGTGCAGTATCGATCGATGTGGAGAGTTCAATTTACGAAGCAGCCAAAACGGCTGGTATTACTCTGCTAACAATTACACATCGACCGACGCTTTGGTATGTTCATTAATTCAAAAACTGTTGTTTCATAGTGGAACATGGTGTTTGAAACATTTCATTGTACTTGAGATGCTTTCTTCAATTACATTTCAATTTGTTCTAATACCATTCATTACCTCATTTAGGAAATTCCACACGCATATATTGCAATTCGATGGGCAAGGTGGATGGGATTTCAAGGCGTTGTCTGAAAACGATACTCAACAAAAGGTTCCTTTGAATAAGAAGCAATGAAATTAGAACATGAATAAAATTAACAAGCCACAAATAGAAATTCAACGTGATAAACAAAATCAAAAAAAAAGCAACAATTCAAAAGAAATACATTTTTTTCTATTCGAACAAAATGAAACGACACCACAGTCAAAAAAAAAATCCATTACCAATACTGTGTACTTTATTGGACATTTGTATGGTATTTTGAGACCTTAAAAAATTGTACGTAATTCTAAATAAATGTTGGTAATGTCTTGACTTTCATTTGAATGACTCTTCATTTTCGTTGCCGTCGTGTTTTTAGCGGAGTTGAACAAATGGAACGGCCAATTAGATGTTATAAACGTAATTTACTTCAATTGTGTAAGTAGTCTTCCATGCTGAATTGACATCATTTCAACAAACACACGCTGTTTCGGTTTTCGTGTAAATTATGCTTTCATTTAGCCCATGTAGGTGACTGTTTTGACTGAGGAAACGTCGGTTTGAAGCATTAAAAGGAGCAAAGTTACAAATTGGCCATGATTTCATGATTGAAATCATAGTCTTACTCATTTTAAAGTTCAAAAAGTCAGCGATTTAGAGTTCGAAATATGATTTGCACGGCAAATCATGTGTCTTAATTAATCTTTTATTTTCTTTAAAATGATATAATGAAAAGCGAATTAAGTTCGTTCATATTTGTATTGCATAATTATTCTCTGTGGAATAAAGTTCATTGCAGAACCCATTGTTGGCATTGAATAGCTGATTTGAAAGGTAATTTAAATAGATTTGAAAAGGAAACACAGTTAGATTTTAAAGGTAATTGATGTTTAATTTGTTCGACTCCAATCAATTGCTCGTTCTAAAATAATGGTAATTTAATATGATTGAGCAAATGTTTTGATTTTACAAAAACATTCAAGTCCATATTATGAAGCAAACGACGTCATATGCAATAATGCACAACTGTTCTGTGTTTCAAAACAGGTGTTGTTCATAATTTTCAAAACATCAACAATAAATCGTGTTATTTACGGTGAAAATCTTCTTTTTTTTATTGTAAAACAAATTTTCGAGTAAATTTGATAATAAATTGATGATATGACAAAATTTCTACCTAAGAATGAAATTGAGACTATTTCATATGAGCTTATCTATTGATTGTTTTGATACAAATGATCTTTTTGATAGATATCAAGCTGGAAAATAATGCACTTTTCTCACGTTTTGCGTCTGGCTATCATTTCTATCGCCCATTCCGCTATTATTAAATCACACCGAGATTAAATATAAGCGATGGTTTCTACAGTGATTGTTTTAGTTAATCTACGTTGAGCAATTAGTTCATGCGTTAAATTGAAAATTGAGTTTACTTCTTCAATCGAGCAAGTCCAGTTCCAAATTGAATTGAAAAGTGTTCTAAATTGAACTTTAATTCAAAATTCGTCGACTCTTTGCAAAATCCCACGACAAAATGCATCTTTTATTTGTTTTCATTGCGCTTGCTGGGACATCAAGGCTATCGTATGCTGGACGCGTGGCCACCTACAAAGAGTACAAAATTTTGGATTCACCTTCGAAAATTGCCGAACGAACTGATAATGCGGACATTGAATTTTATCTGAAAACGATCGAACGATTGGAAAAATTGCAAGAAGAAGCTGTCGAAATACGAGATATGTACAAGGAAATGGTCGAAACGATTTTTGGCTTGAAATTAACCACCACAACATCTACTACGGAAAAATCAGACACATTGGGTGCTCCAAGTGCGAGGAAGGCATCGGAAGATTGGGTTCGATCATCATTAGACCTAAGTGCGTTAAACAGACAATTGTCAGATCGATATTCAGAATAATGTTTAGAGATAAGTAGAGAAAAGCATCCGTGCAATTTCTATTTTTTCGTGATTGCGACCGATTAACAATTGTTTTTCTAAGTGTTGTTAATTAGCAATAAAATATGATTAACAATGAATAAAGCAAAACTGTCCTTATTATCAATCGATGCAAAGATCCAGTCTGAGGTGATAATAGATAAGGCTGACAATGTGTCATAAGAATCTAATTATTCTCATGAAAACCGACAATAAATTCAAAACTATCACTCTTTCAAAATAAAAGACAATGTTTTTTGTTTGCTTGGGTTCCGTTTTTTTGTCATCGTGTGAAAATGGTTTTATTGTTAACCTAAATAGTATAAATTAAATAAAAGATCTTCACTTTTGGTCGTAAGATATATAAAAACATCTGGTTATGTCAATGGACTTCAATTTGTTTTGTTCTTTTTTAAATCGGTGCTATTATCCGGGTCTTTGATTGATTATATCACGTAAGCGTTCAATTTCTTTTTTAAGTTCGTTGGCCTCCTTATCAGATTCAATGAGCTTATTGCTTAAAATCTGGATTTTTCTATCCTTATCCTTATCCTCATCCAAATCTAATCCAAAGGATTTGAATACGGTTGTCTGCTCTGCTGTTTGGCTAACAAACGAGAAGCTCTCCGAACTCGCTATAGTTGCTAAATCACCGCCTTCGACAGAGACATTTGGAATGTTGGTACGAATGTCTTTTAAACTGTCATTGGCCAATGGTGATGCTAATTGCATTTTCAACTGATTTAGCTCATCAGTTATCTGAGTTAATTGACTCTGCAGATCACCATTGCGCTGTGATGTATTCTCATGTATTGAATCACTGTTACCATTCCAAAGCTCCAGTTTTGTCAACAAATCAAATGTTCCCACCGCATCCGGACGTTTTGTGTGCTTCTGGAGAAGACTGCAGATAAAATTGACAGAATCGGTTATTAATACAAAAAAAAAAACAATAAAATGGAAAAAATAAGGAAACATTGCCAAATTCCACTTACGCTTTAAGTAAATTCAAAAATTTCGGTGGTATATTTGATGGGAGAACACCTTTTCGAGCTGCTTCGATGGTCTTCAAGCGTTCCATGTCTGTGCTGAATGGAATGAGTAGCTCAAGCAAAATTATCCCCAAACTGTATATATCTGATTTGGGATCACAGTGTCCCTTGAGCTGTTCCGGCGCCGCGTATGTTATTGTACCGATCATAGAATCCGGTGAGTGTTTGGCTTGCAGTGGGCAAGCTAAACCAAAATCACCGAGTTGAACATAAAGTTCTCCGTTCTTTTCACAACCGATGAAAATATTCGAAGGCTTAATGTCATGGTGAACAATGTTCTGAAGATGGATGTACCGTAATCCGCTCAATGCTTGAGTGAAAATGGTCTGTGTGACATCCAATGAATCCCATGTTTTGGCAAGTGTTTTCTCGAGTGATGTGCTTGACATTGAGGCTGATAAGCGCCAACGGGCTGTTGTTTTATCCTTAAATTTAGTTACTGCTCCGGTTGTCGCATTCCGATTCACCTCATCATCTTCATCATCTTCAATAATAGTACGATCCCATTGTCGTACCGATTTTTCGATGAACTTCTGATAGAACTCATTGAAATCACTGTTTTTATTTCGCTCATCAAGCCATGCCCGAAGAGTCAATGGACGAAATGACATCTGTATGTACAAGGTGGCCCATTTCAATTTCAAATGTGGCTGTGACTCATCAAATTCTAAATTTCCTTTGATGAAATTATTATTCGGATGATTTTCATTCGGTTTGACAAGACGTTTATCAGGCGCCGATTCCATAGCCGACAAATTCGCACCGTCCACAACATCGTCGTGCGTTGCCTGGAACTGGATAAAATCCGATGATTCGTCCGCATGATTATTCGTTGGCAGTTGAAGGTGATTTCGACAATCGGCAATCGGTTTATCAGGACCGGTTTCGCCGTCCGATTCGGAGGTTTCCGTTTCACTTTCACTTTCTTCTTCGTCGTTGTTTGTGGTGGCACTGAGTTTTGAATCAACATCAAATATTGCCACTTCAAAACCTTTTGATAATGAAGAGATTTTTGATGCCTTTTTTCCGTTACTTCTGTGGAAGGGGAAAAAGATTAGAAGATTGATTAGAAAATGACTCGGAATTGATCGAATTTTGATTTACTCAACCCATTAATTACAAAGACATTTTTTGTAAGTTTCTACAAAAAGAGATTTGGCTTGAGAAAAATTTATCATTACATTCAACTAATTGTTTTAAAATCAAAAATCAAGAATTTTTCTTCACTAGAAAAAAAAATAGAGCAAAAATATATCCATTCAATGCGTCATCATTAGAACAATGCCCCTTAGCATATGCAAAAGAAAATTTCGCAATAGCATAACAAATTTCATGTTCTTAGTCACCGCGTTGTGATCACTGATAAAAACAATCAACGTACATGAACAAAAACAAAAATGAAACAAAAAATCTCGTGCAAATGGCTTACCTTTTTCTATTGGCAAGATGTTTTTGTAAGTGTTTTCCATCGGTAACTCTCGGCCGGTTGGATGGATCGTCAAACAGTGGTTCTAACCAGGCGGCTTTATATGGCACAATGTTATTATGATTTAAGCTGGCGAACGTTTTCACTTCGGCCAAATGTGACAAGACTCGTTTGATGGTTCGATATTTGATGGTGACTTTTTTCACGGCATACTCAATGCCATCCAGCTTATTCCTAGCACGATATACGCGACCAAAACCGCCACCGGCAACAAAGTTGAGCTCTTCAAATTCGCGATGATACCTTGACCACTGCATGCTGGCCGAATCACTGAGAGGCCATACTGACTGAAGGTTGAGCGGAATTTTGCTAGTTCCGCGCGCCACAGTCGCCAATTGATACAGTGCTCTTTGATATTGACTTCGCATAACATCAAATTCCCCCATCTTAAAAGTCTCATCGATTAAATTCATGCGATGCAGCTGCTTGCAAATGGTTTTATACAAATTTTCGGCATTCGATTGATCCGGTTCGATCATTGAACATAGCTGCTGTACCAGACTTTCCACCAACAGACTGACTGGAGCGCTTGCTTTCGTCGCCAATTGTTCAATGAAATTATCCCGTACACTCGCCGTATTATCAACTAATTTAGTGGAACTATCAAAATGGTCGGTATTCATGCTGCAGGCGGGCGATTGATGAAGCAAATTTGACAATGGTGATGATTCATGTTCAACCCCTTTTGAAATTTACCAAAAGAAATGGAGAAAAAAGTATGTGAACTTGCATCGTTAATACACCGTCATGTATAAGTTTCCACAGGAATGTTCTAGAATTTCTAACTTACATTCGAATGTTTTCAAGCTGTCTAAGTGAGTCCAATCGCTTACTTGTTCCGATTCTTCGTCTGATTCCATTTTGTTGGATGTTAATTTGCCCACCAAATGTTCAGGTGTTATTGAATGTTCATTGTTTGAAATTAACACGAATTATTAAAAATAAAATACTAACGAAGAGGCAATGAAATCGTATTCGTGTTTATTTGTATTGCTTACGGAACTGTCACCGTGTTCTCGACATGCGAATGTTTTGACATAACATAGAGTGCGTTTGTATTGAGATCAATTGACAAACGCGAGTGAAGCTTTTACGTTAGTGAGATGGCGCCAGTTGAATATATTTTCAATCGGCTTTTGATTGAGTTTTTTTTCCATTTCACATTTCAAACACATATTCAGTTCGATACGTATATAATTATCATGGTATCAGGGATATATTATAATAGATGATTTATTGAATTCACTTGTTGAACATATATGACATGCAAACACAGAAAAATCAACACCCGAATCTAATTATGTTCATTCATTTCATGTGTTTATTTGAATCATACCTGTTACATTTTTATTTATTTAAGCATAATTATGAAACGCTTATTGTCGGCACACACACACACACACGCACACACCAAAAAAATGGAACTCATTATTTTTGGTTATTGTTTGTAGTGGCATCTTGACGTCAATCAAACTCGAATTCAAATTCAATTTCAACGTGGTTTGCATATGAAAAAAGACAGTTTCCACCTTCGAAATGTGTGATAAACAAGCCAGAATCAGCCCCGTTTCGGAAAAAACAATTATGTTGTGATGGGAAATGAAACGAAATTTCCCTGTCTGTTTCGATGCACGCTATGCATACAAACAACGATAACATCCAATTTCGTCTTAAAAAACAAAAGAACCGTTATGATATTTTTCGCGCGCGTTTGTCCTTGCAAACCTTCTTAGTCCAATCGACGACAGTAAACGATGACGGCGGAGGCGGTGGCAGCAACATTGAAGCAAACAGCGGAATGTTCAGTTGTGTGAACGAAATACAGCGCAACACGCTGCCACTGACTGGCTCTGTAGGAATTCTCCGTTTCAACCGAACTGAGCACAGTTCAGCTGATCTGTTTTGAAATCAGTATCACATTCGGATACGAGCAGTACGGTTGTGTGTTGTAGAGTTCTATCCAAGTTCGACACTGGCGAGACTGTAATAAATTTTCGTCGTTTCTGAACGAATTTTCAAATCGAAGAGCTTGCAGAGTTTCAAATTACCGTTACGCGAAATTTTCTCGTTGTTTTGCCAAACTCGGAACCTGAACAGAAAAAGAATGTTAGCATCAAATGTTTTTGTCAACCAATTTTCTCGATTTTTGATCGTTCATCATATTAGTGGAAGATTTTTTTTATTCTTCAAACGTTTTATGAGTTGCAACTATTTTTATAGAGTTTCTTGTCTTTAGTTTGATTGTTCATCGATTTTTTTCTTTCTATTGAAAGGGATGCGTAGTCTTCATTTATTTTTTATCTATACTCTTTTTGCTTTTACTCAGCTTCAGTGTTTGAATATGCGTTTAAGAGTCAATTTATTGCCAATTACTCCGCATGCATTCAATTTTAGCTTCATATTTCCGTAGCCTTTTTTTCTTCCTTCGTGTGCCGTCTTTTTATTTCCCCAACCCATTCAATAAATTTCGTTTGATATAATCGTGAATCAAAGTGATTCATCGCGTGAATGCATTTTTCTCTATTCGAACTTTCCTTTATAGGTTCCGTTTTTTTTTATCTTCTTTTCGTCCACACCAAAGGAAACAAAAAAAAATCTGTTCCCATTTTCTAGCTCCCAATTGCACTGATCATTTTCAGTTGAATAATGTTCTCATAATGTTTTAAATTCGTCTAATTACGCTCACTTGAAATAGACAGGTTGACTTTGCGAAAAATCAAAGCGTTCAACAAATTTAGTGGCTTTTTTTACAGGCTATAATTTTTGTCTATGGTGGCTTGGTGCAGCAAATCAAATACAGCAGCAATCGCGGTCAAAACAAAACGCAAACCAAAAAACAAAAGAGTAACACAACTGTAATGAACATTTGATTATCGTGTTTGTGGTGTAATAATAATATGAGACGCAATCAAAACTCAATGACTGTGTAACGAATGATACCAAATGCAGCAGCGAAACTGAATAGAATGAGTCGTTAATCTGCGAATGCACTTTGACACATTACAGCACACGCACCGAAAAAGAGCGAGTTAGTGTATGTGATGTTGTTTGTTGAAAAAGGAGACAGTCAATCGGGACACTGCACATCGGATGCAGCGGATTGGTTTCGAGCGTGTAACAAAAAGCAGATAAATTAGTTAGAACTACCTCGTACATCGAGGATAAAATAGGTCGTTTTTGGTCGCATCAAATTGCAACAACGATGAGCGCACAGCGAGAAAACTGAGCAGTGAGTATGAATATCTCGTTTTATTTGATGGTTTCTTTTTTCACTCACCCAAATACGCATCGAACCCGTTGAAAAGTGGCAGTTGTGCATGCGATTTATCTATCATTTAGTAAATTGGCCACATTTCATCGTTTGCGCAAATAAACCCAAGTTGCAATTCACATGTTCATTCGCAAAAAATTGGCATCATGATTGAGGCTGATCGACTATTGAGTGGCGATTTAAATGTTCGTATTTATATCACAAGGCAATTGCATTCCAGCCACATTTTTACCGTTTTATACATCTTTCTCTCATTGTTTTTTTTTAAATGTTCTAAATTAAGAATAATAGCGCGTTCATACGGTGAAGTGAAGCAAACGATTGGATTCTCGCGTGTGTTTGTATTATTCTCAGAAATCAAACAACAATCAATGTTCTCAAATCAGATCGTCTGCTCAAACTTAGTATAAAACACGGTTATATATATCATCTTAAGTAGCTTGTGAATATTGTTTTTTTGGGCGGTATTTCTCTTTTCGTCGAAGGAATATCGACATCGTGAATGAACGCATGATGAATTTGTGTATGTTCCGTTTGGATTGTTTATGCAAATATGAGGATGCTCGTTAGATGACTAAACCAATTAATTATGGGTTTTTGTTTAGGCATCACCATTCAATGATATTGTAAATAATAACCGGCAAAATCGGCTTTCCACGAAACGGTAAACCATGGAATTTGATTGAAATTAACTCCTTCTCTTTGAGAGAATCTCTTATAATGCGAGCAACACAGACAATGATGATGATGGCGGTGGCGGCGATGGTGGCGGCGCCACTTTAATTCCATCACACTGACTATATAAAGCTCATTGTTGACAATTTCAAAGAATTACGTTAATTATACATAAAACTCCTTCACATTATTCTCATATCGATTACACTTAAATTGTAACGTAACGTACGTCTAGCACAAGTTTTCGAAACAATCTTCGAGACTTACAAACATTTCTAAGCAAATATCTAATGGCTTTTTTTCCCTTCATTCAAATCAATTCAAGAGAATTGTCTCATTCTTCAGACACTCTAGTGTGTCAAATTCATTTACGATTCAATGAAAAAATTTGCCTGCAAAATTGTCAACATCGTCTGAGATTAAATTTTGTAACGAGGCCAACTTATTATTTTCAGTGAATTTGTGCATTCAAGTGGAGCTATTAGAACCCTATTGCCTCCTTTTTCTCAGACAATTTTTAAAGACTCCAATTTTTGAAGCATTCTAATCGGATTTTTGTCTTCATAATTGCGAAACAAGTCTAAATCTCTTGGATTTTGAATTGAACGATTTTCTATTCAACCTAACTCGAGTATTTGAAAGATTTCTTGTTAAGTTAAACTTATATACGTACATATTTTGAAAAGCATTTGTTCCAAATTAGTTCACGAAACTTTTCGGGGAAAAAAAGCATTACTTTCGAAGGTACGTATTTATGTACGCCAAAAAAAGGGGTAAAAAAGTAAAATCGTTCAATTTTAGGCTACACACGTAAAACTTCTGCAACAATTGTTGGAGTTTTCTATTGATTTTATTTAATTTCAGTCATGTTGGACAGACAAACTTGAAAACGTATCAAGTGATCGATAAATTTTCTCAGAGAATAGTGATTGAGTGACTGAAATCGGGACAACCTACCAAATTCAATTGCAATTTTACAATGCATTTTTAATTTGTTTTCCTATCGATTTTTCTAGTCCTTATTTGTGATTATTATACACATATATTTAAAAAAAAAATCCAAAAATTAAACATATTATTGAACATTTTTCGAAGCATTCGTATAATTTTCAGAGAAGTTCTTTGTAGTAATACATTTCTTTAAATTCTTCTTCCTAAATTAATGAAAATGAGCTCGTTTGTTTTCTTTGTAAGAAATTTTTTGACTATGGTGACTAGTTTTTAGTCATTTAATCATTTTTCTTCTCATACAATTTATGATTTTTTAAGGATTGCAACAGTTGACGAATATCTTGGCTTTATTTTCTACGCACTATGGAATTTGAATAAATAGTCAGTCGTTGTCAATACATTTGACTGACTAAGCCGGCTAACTTGAATGAATTGGTTCAAAATTGATTGGAAACCCAATCACAATCCGTTCAAAAATTCAGTTGAAATGTCCCAAAACAGATGGCTAACCGGTAGTCACTTTTTTGTCTCAATGGTTTGTGTTTTCATTTGACAGAAAAACAATTCAATTCCAATGTTTATTATTCCATGCGATTGAACACAAAAGGCAAAAGATGGACTAGAACTCAAATTTAACTCAAACTTGAAGTAATTTTCCCCAAAAATAAAATTGAATCCGATCATAAAAGCATTGTAAATATTATTTCTATATGGGACAATCATCACTAATTGGATTAATTTCGCTATTTTGATATCAAAATTGAAAGGATTGAAAAAATAATTTCATTCATAATTTGTTTCCATCGAAAATGTTTATTCGGATGGAAGAAACACTCGTTTTTATATTTTTTGGATAGAAAAAAACCCGGTGATTGTTGCTGGTGTGTTGTGAAATCAAATGAAATCGAGAGCTTAAATAAATGGCTTTGATTTTCTTTGAGCATTGGCATTTTCCATTTCTCCTATTCTGGATACAGCTCTGAACAAAGTGATTACTTATTTCACATTGGCAGTGCAACGACATGTGGATATTATTAGGGCTGATTTTCCGGAAAATTGACATTCATCAAACTCAATCAACCGAAAGGTGAAGTGAACTTCGATCTGATATTTGCTCGACTCGTCTCAATTTCACAAAAGAGTAAAAAAAAGCTCAAGTTCAAGATTTTTTTTGAATGCCACCCACATCTATTCATTCCGCATTGACTCTGGAAAAAATTTACTCGCGACTAAGAAGAAATAAGAAAAAAACACTCACAAAAGAAAACTTTGCACAACAAAAGAACAACAAGCGGATTGAGTATATATATATATATGTGTGTGTGTGTGTGTGTGTGAATGTGTTGTTGCTACGTGTTTATGGTTTGAGTGTGAAATTCCAATTGCGATAAAAATCACGTTCGCTAATTTTTTGATTGAATTTTGCGCATAATAGAGGCAACCATGACGACAATACAAACAAAAATTTGACATGGATAGTAAAATTGCTTCCGTTGAAATGCCATTCATTACTAACAATGATATAGCAAATCTAAATTATGTATGTTTGAGCTTAGATTGTGAATTTGGTTCTTGGTTCTTGCCAAACTTGGTGCGCTATCGAAAAACACCATTTAGAGCGATATTTGAATGCAATTCGTAACAAAATTCATATTTCAATGGAAAAGCAACGAAGTCCATAAAATAAAACGAAAATAATCGGGGATTAAGAGCAACAGTACGAGATTCGGAATGAAAGGAATTTAAGGCGTGAGAGTATTTGGGTCGATTTCCGGCAAGCTTTTTCTCTATTTCTCCAGTGTATTGCAAATAATAATGATGGAAAAACCAACGACCATTGGAGACCGTATTTTTATATTTGCTCATAGAACAAGAGAGAAAAACTACTTTTTGTTATACAAACAAATCTCAACGACACAAAACTACGTCGGTTAAAAACAGCAAAAAAAAACACCCGCGCAGAACATTGAGTTTCTGATAGAGTCGAAACTACATCCATCCATGTTTGTTTTAACTACACACAGAAGAGAATCCCCGGAAATTTTAGGTGGTCGCCGTAAAATTTGACATTTATATATAAATTTTATCAAATACTATATATATTTTACCGCTTGAAATGACAGATGGCGCTAATTTCTGTTGGAATATTTGAAATTACGTCATCGCCCGGAAAATTGAAGTGTTGCCGGTAAAATGAATATAGAAATTTATATATAAATGTCAAATTTTACGGCGAACACCTGAAATTTCCGGGATTCTTTTATGTGTGTATATATGAATGAAATCAAATACGAGTGGTTTTGATCGTAGGGTCCATGCAAGACCCTAACGACATCTATTGAGTTTTGTAGAAATCATTATGGTAATAACTACTTGGTTCAAAACGTCAAACCAAATGGTAGTTGTGCTCACTGTTGCATATGCCGGATGGTTTTGATAGTGATGATATATGAATAGTCGATAAGAAGTATGGTTAGTCACTCCAACCAGACGTGTGCAAGGTCAAAAATTCTAGGGGGGGGGGGGGTTAAAATTACTTTTCCCGGGGGGGCTCTGCAAATTTATAAATGGGTGTGAAAAAAAATGAAGACCTAAAAAAAAGGTCCCCACTTTTGGAAATCGATTCTATCTAGTTCAAAATCGGTATCCAGAGAAAAGTGAGGACTAAAAAAAAAAGTCCTCACTTCTGAAAATCGATTATATCTAGTGTCAAATTTTCCAAATCGCTGGGGGGGGGTCCACATTTTAGAATCCTAGATGGGGGGTAAAACCGGAATAACCCCCCTCGCACACGTGTGACTCCAACCGTTAAATCAACCCCCTTGAGTTTACAAATCGGCCTGCTTGAGTGGCGCAAATCACTCGTTTGGCATCAATTCATCAATTCAGTGTGAATTGAGGAAGAGAGCTTCGACTGAAATAATTAGTGTCAAATGAATGGTTGTAAAAAGCTTCGATTGACGAAATATTGGTCACCATTTCAGTTATTAGTGACAATATTGACTTGTTCAGTTTTTAAGAAAAAATTAATGATCGAGAACGATTGTTATTTTGGTGGTGCCCACATTATTCACGTTCTCTGCCAAAAAAAAGTGTGCGGAAGTAAACAAGCAATCTTCGTCTGCAATAAATTTGTTGTTGTTGTTGCTTTTGCATAATTTCGTTGTTTTGTCGTCGAAATTCAAGATTTCGTTGACAAGAAAAATGTCTTTCTCTCTTGGGCTACTCAGTCCAAACTTGTTGAAGTCACATCACATGAAAGTATTGCTGGTAAATGATATGCGAAAATCCAGAAATACAACAGCTTACAAGGGGCATAAACGAATTCGTTT